GACTCCTATAACTTCCCTAGTAAAACTAACTGCATGCATGCATATTACGTGTCCCATGACACTCCTTTTCTTACATAATTAAATAATAAATAAAACATAAAATTAATCCATTTTTTTTTACATTTAACTATTCCAACAATCTCCCTCCTAAATGTCAAAACGTCTTCAGGCAGCTTCAAATATTGAGTCTTCACAGTATGATCACAAAATCCTCACCTTCAACTGAGTCATCGCTCGGGTCCTTGTCTCCCTCCGAGTAGTAGCCATCAATGCTCGGGTCTTCGTCTCCCTTTGAGTAACATTCATTAATGTTCGGGTCTTCGTTTTCTGCTTGCACACCTTCTGATACCTTGCTGTCCTTGAGTTGAACTGATGTCTTAGTGGCTTTCCAGTCTTCCTGACCATTCCCCCTGGTGCATCTACCATCCGAGGTACCTACGCCATCATCAACCTGACAACCCTTTGTGTCTTGAGTCCTGTCGGGCGCACTCCCGAACTTCTGACTCTTAATACTCGTGTACCTTCCGCACCATTTCTGAGCAAAAACAAAGTATTCGTGTGGGTGCAGAAGATAATTTATAAACAGTCTATAAAATGCCTCACCATAACATTCTGGAAAACCAAAACTCTCTGCAATCTCGTTCCAAAGTCCATTCACGGTGATGATTTCGTGTCCTCCATAACCTAAGATCGATTTGTAAAGATCGAATAGACACACTTCCAGTCCCGATACCTTCGGTGGCACAATGATTTCTTCATTGTCCTTGATCTTAAAAAACCATACGAGTGCTTCGTTAAATTTCTTTTCAAAAAATTGCTTATTTGCATAAGCAATTCGGTCACACTTGACCAAAATCATGAAAGTGGTAAAATCATCGAGAGTTTTAATATGTACTGGCACAAAACTCCCACAAATCTCGATTTTTTCTTCCTCGATCATTTGCTTCTTCCCTTTGTCACATTTCTTCGAATTCGTACTCACGAATTCCTTCTTTTCTCTTGTTTCTTTCTCGGAATCGTCACACATATGAGTGATTTTGCACTTCAAATCACTTACTTCAACTTCGAAACCTTGAAGTATAAGTTGCTTCATACTCAAAACGTTGATATTAACTTMTGGTACGAATGATACGTAAGGTATGACATACGTTCTTTCGTTCGTATTCAAACTTATTTCACCGATACCATGCACATATATAGGATCAAGGTGACGTTCTTCATCATTGATGAAGAGACGCTCCTTAAAGCTATCGAACATCTCCTTTGTAGGAGACATGTGCTTCGAGATTTTAGTATTTACGTACCAAATGTTGTTCCAAGATCCCATATCTGTACCTATAACCAAGTAATCTCCATTTATGACGATTCTTTCGGTGTGCGTTTGTTGATAAGGTAGCAACGGACCAAGAATTCGAGAACTTCGAATTTTGCTGCTTGTTCCGGTTTCCGTCGCTTGTAGGATGGATCTTTTCTGCCTCGAGGATGCCATCTTTCTTGGGCAGTCCCACACAGAATGCCCCTTCAACATGCACCGATAGCATGTTGGTTTCTTCGGCCTAGTCTCGCTTCTTTCACGGCAGTTGAATGGATTGCTTCGACACTTTGCGGTTTTATCGTTTTCATTGATTCGTGTACGTGTTTCGCGGATTTGTTGCAGAATCCTCATCAAGTTCCTCCTTGTTTGTTCTTGCTTCCGTTTTTTATCCTTCCGCTGATTTTGATCCAACCGTCGGCTCTGATACCATATTCGTGATGAAGACTTCGGCATCGTAACATTTAAGTGTTCCGATGTAGAACCTTCTTCATTAGAGATCATGTGATTGAGATCCTTAGAAGTTGAAGAACCCATTGAATTCACACACACA